ATATTGTATGTAGACTAGAGTCAAAACAAGTGAGAAAAATAAGATATCAAAATGGCCTATGTATAAACAAAATGCAGCTGTTGCTTATTATTGTCTGTAATGAAAGGTATAAAGGTTTGCTGTAATTGTTTACCACTAGAGAGACCTGTTTAGCTCTCTCCCTCTACGCAATTGTTAGAGAAAATAAAGTATCTGACTTGCTGTACCCAAACAAAAAGTGAGAACTCTGTTATTCTCCGACACTATCTATCTATCCCCACACACCCCTCATATTTATCTATCTATCCCCACACACCCCTCATATCTATCTATCTATCCCCATCCACCCCATCTATCTATCTATCTATCTACCTATCTATCCCCTTGCATACAGAGGTTCCCAGTGCTGAGGGCTGGGACAGACTCTTTACCAGAGTGAGGTGTGATGGTTCCTTCCCGCTATGTGTCCCTCCACAGAAGGGGCTCCTGATCTGAACACCCTGCCCTGCTCTCCCGCTCATCCCCCTGACCTAGGGTGTTGGTGCCTGTCTTGCTCGAGGCCACCTACCATCCAAACTGGGGCCCACCCAGCTGCCCAACCCTCCCCCCCCCACATCAGGCCAAAGCCCCCAGCCAGAACCCCAATGGCCACTGCTTCCTCCAGCCCCACTACAACTACACCCGCCCTGATGCCTACTCCGATACCCGCACCCACCACTGCCAGGAACCACCCCCCCAGCCATGGCCAGGCCCAACCACTCAGCCTTCTTCACTTTAAAGCGCTGCCCATAGGCCATCAGGAACTCGTCCATCTGCCTGTCCAGCTCCTGCTCCAGCTCCTCCAGGGCCGCCTGTTTCTGGGGGTCCTCGCCCAGCAGCTCCCCCTGGCAGCGCTCCAGCAGCTCCTGGCGTTTCCCCTCCAGCCGTCGCTGCATCTCCGCAGGCTTCACCCTCAGGCAGCGGTGCATGCTCTGGTGGTCACGGTCCTGTGGGGAGCGGGAGAGATTGGCCATTAGGGACCGGTTCTAGTGTTTCCCAGCCACAGGGGGCAGCACCATGTCATGCACCCACAGCCCCTTCAACTCCGACCCACCACAGCCCCCTGCTATCCCATTCCTGCCCCCCCCCAGCTCTGCCAGTGACCCTCACTCCCGACCCGCAGCCCTTCTGTGCTCACCAGCTGCTGCACAAATTGTTCATATTTCCTCCTGGAGACTTCTACGGCTTTTCTGTTTTCCTCCTCTATCATCGCTGCCATCTGTGGTGGGATGGGAAAAAGGGTGGGGGATGGGGATGGAACCATCTCTGAACTGGGAGCCCCTCTCCCCCCACTCACCTTTTCCCCATTCCTCCAGGGCCCTGCTCGCTACTGTCACCTCCCCACTGCCCCCTGACCCCCCACATTCCCCCGGAGCCAGGGGCAGCCCCCCAATAACATCACAGCAAGGGCCACATTAGCATCACCCCTGTGGAGGGGGCTGGTTCTCCGGCTGGGTCCCTGGGGGTTCCCTTATCTCTCAGGGGCTGGGGTCAGGGAGCCCCAATCAGGACATTTTGCAGGGGGCTGTCGTGGTGCCCCCTCCTGGCCTAGTGCGACTGGCTAATGGCAGGAGGATCTGGGGTGAGAATAAACTGAAACTGTTGGTTTGGGATTTGGGGGTTTCTAATCTCCCTAACCCTTTAGGATTGTTTTCAAATCAGTGGGGAAATGAGAGGAAATGCCCCAAAATTGTCCCCTCTACACACACACTGAATCAGGGGAGGAGAAAATATTTAAAACAAACAAAGTATGAAAATCAATTTTTCTTCCACTTGTTGAAAATGAAAACCAAAAAAACTTGTGACCGAGGGATGCAGGGGGCGGCTCGGAGCACAGGATCCACGGCCATGTTATTTATCTACTGAGGTCGATGGGATCTGGGCTGGATTCTGATCTCGGTGATCCGGCTGTAAATCAGTCAACCTCTGTGTCCTTTTGTAATCTCGCAAAATTACCTGTTGTAAGTTTGTTTTTATCTATCCCCAAACATCCTCATATCTATCTATCCCCTGCATACAGAGGTTCCCAGTGCTGACGGCTGGGACAGACCCTTACCCACAGTGAGGTGTGATGGTTTCTTCCCACTATCTGTCCCCCCGCAGCAGGGGCTCCTAATCTGAACATCCTGCCCTCCTCTCCCGCTCATTCCCCTGACCTGGGGTGTTGGTGCCTGTCTTGTTCTGGGCCATCTTCTGTCCAAACCAGGCCCCCAGCCAGTGCCCAACCCCCCCAATCAGGCCAAAGACCCCAGCCCCAATCCCAATGGCCACTGCTTCCTCCAGCCCCACTAGAGCTGCACCGGCCCTGATGCCTACTCCGATACCCGCACCCACCACTGCCAGAACCCCCCACCCTGCCCAATGTACAGGCCCAACCACTCGGCCTTCTTCACTTTAAAGCGCTGTTCATATCGCGGCAGGAACTCCGCCATCTGCTTGTCCAACTCCTGCTTCAGCTCCTCCAGGGCCGCCTGTTTCTGGGGGTCCTCGCCCCGCAGCTCTTCCCGGCAGCGCTCCAGCAGCTCCTGGCGTTTCCCCTCCAGGCATCGCTGCATCTCCAGGGGCTTCACCCTCAGGCAGCTGCTCATGCTCTGGTGGCCACGGTCCTGCCGGGATGGGGGAGTGATCGGCCATTAGGGACGAGCACTAGCGTTACCCAGCCACAGGGGGCGCCGCCTCCTCACACACCCGCAGCCCCCTCACTCCCGATCCACAGCCCCCTGCTACCTCAGCCTTGCCTCCCCCCAGGTATGCTGGTGCCCCTCACTCCCAATCCGCAGCCCCTCTGCACTCACCAGCTCCTGCACAAATTGTTCATATTCCCTCCTGGTGGCTTCTACTGCTCTCCTGTTTAACTCCTGTCTCATCGCTGCAAACGCCTCAGCCATCTGTGTGGGGAGAGGGAACGGGGTTGCGGGTGCGGATGGGATGGGCCCATCTCTGAACTGGGAGCCCCCCCACAGTCACCACCTTCCCCACATTCGTACAGGACCTGCTCCTCGCTATCACCTCCGAACTGGTCCCCAACCCCCCACATTTCAATAGAGCCAGAGGGCAGCACCTCGACCCCACAGCCATGACCACGTTGCTGCCACCCCAGTGGAGGGGCTGGTTCTCTGGCAGGGCTTCCTGCAGGTCCCCTTATCTCTTGGGTGCTAGGAATCCTCGATCAGGACATTTGGTGGAGCTGTTGTGGTGCCCCCTTCTGGGCTAGTGTGATTGGCCAATGTCAGGAGGACCTGGGGTTGGGGTCAATAGAACCAGCCCCCACTCCCTCCAAATCCAGGCTGGAAAGAGAGAGGCGGAGGGAGGGGTGACCTGGTACCTTCATGGGTGAGGAGAAGTCGTAGCGTTGGGTCTTCCAATATCGGGAGACGCCCTGCGGGGAATAACGTCCGGGGGAACTGGGATCAGGGACAGCTCAGCCCCTTTCCCCTCGCTGAGCCCCTTCCCGCTCCCTGCAGCCCAGCACCCCCTACTGAGCACCCTGCCCCGCTCCCTGCAGAATGGCACCCCGTATTGAATCCCTGTCCCCGCCTTGCGGCCCATTTTGCTGTCTCCCATCCAGCCCCCCCGCTTTAACAGCCCCCACTCTCCCACCTTGATCCTGGCAGCCAGCTGAGCCCCCGTCAGCACCTGCCCGGCTCGGTCCGTCCGGACGTGTGTCCCTGCTGAGTGCACCACACTGGTGACGTAGTCACACAGGTACTGCCGGAAATCCTCGTCCATGTCTGCAGAGGGGAAAAGGACCCAGGTATCCGGGAGGGATCCAGGTGTCCAGGGTAGGACACACGTTAAATGCGATTGGGTGGGCTAGTTTGTGCCACAGGAAATGAGATTCCATCTCTGGGCAACAGCTGCTTAACACCCCCCACCCCATTGCCTGGGGGAAAATGGGGGAGAGGCATGAGGGGGCAAGGAGAGGCTGCAGTGGGGAGACAGCAGTCTCCACTGGGTGGTGCCAGGGGACCCATGAAGACCCAAAAGGGGGACACCAGCAGCGTTCCCCTAGCAGACGAGGACCCCAGCAGTGACCCCCCGCCATGGCCCTCTCCCCTCCCACACAGATGCTGTGACCCAGCGAGTGCCCCTGTGCAGTGGGCAGTAGAGTCAATTCTAAGTCAAGGGGGGTGAGCTGGGCACTGGGATTTTGGGATGGGGGAAGTGCAGGAGGGGAAGAAAGGGGCAGCAGAGGAGAGAGGGTGAGGATTGGGGCAGAGAAGAGGGTGGGGACAGTGCAGGAGGGGGTGGGGACCGGGGGAGCAGAGCAGGGGGTGAGAGGGGAGAAGATGAGGGTCTCTTACCATCTGGCGTCCCTGCCCTGCTCCTGGTGAACCCAGTGCCGGGGTGGGGCAGTAGGTAACACCGGGTGCCGCTTGCCCTCAGGGCTTCCAACACCAGGGGCTGCTCAGCAGAGACCTCCAGGTCCTGCGGGAGTCAAAGCAACATTTGTGGCCGTCAGCAGGGAATCAGACCCGCTGTGGAAACGTTCAGCTCCGCCCCAAAGTGAACACACGTGGTATCTGATCATTACCTGTGTGATTTCTCCAAGATACTCCTGCCCCGCGTCCGCGCCGTAGGCTCCAGAGAGCTGCCAATCTCGCACCAACAGGTCCAGGCGCTGCAACAGGGAGCACAGGAGAAGGGTCACACTGGGGCTGGGGGCACAGAGAGGAGACCAGAGCTGGAGGCTGTTGTCCAACCCAGCCACGGACACTGAGACCCTGGGCATGATGTGGGCATGGAGGGAGAACAATGGACTGGCTGTTTCTTTGGGGTTTGTCCAGCACCTGGCACAATGGGGTCTGGGTCTAGGACGGGGGCTCTGAGGTGCTCTGGCAATAGAGACAATAAATAGGAATAGTAAGAATCAGGTGGGATAACAGGACTGGCGGGGGGTGGAACAAGCATTATATCCTCATATGGGGGGTGATGGGAAACAAGGACCCACCTGGATTGGGGCCAGATTGCAGGTCCCTCCAACCTCCTTCGCAACCTGAATGAACATCTGAGATGCAGAAAGAGAGGGAGGGAGGGAGAGAGAGGGGGCGGGGGGCAACATTTTTCCATCTTGAACAAACCATCCCCGCACATGTGACCAATCAAGATTGGCAATGCAAAATAAACGAGTGAAATAAATGCCACTGAAACTAAAGGGATCCCAGACAACATTCAGTGGAAACTGATCATTGAAGAGAGAAAACATAATTTCAAACAACAATAACTCAACACCAGTAATCACAGATATAAAAGCAATAACTGAACTCAGAAAACCCAATAGTTGGTTCTAGAAAAGCAGTCACAGAAGACACAGAAAGCCAAAAATCAAACTCATCAAGCCAACAATTGGAGACCAAAAAGAAATAATGAAAAGAAGAAAACTAGTCATTGGAATCAGAAAACCAATGATTGAAACCAGAAAAGCAGTGAAATAAATCACACAATCACTTAACAAAATCAACACACTAATTAATGCCAGAAAACCAATGGTCAAAAATAGAAAACCAGCATTTATCAAAGTCAGAAAAACAGTAATCAAAGCAAGTTATCGGGAATTAACGTCTGAAAGCCAACAATAAAAAATAAGTATTTGAAATAAGAAAACCAATAGTCAGAGAGTCAAAACCAGCAATGCAAGTCAGAAAACCAGATATCAAAGTCAAAATACTGTACCCCAAAGTGAAAGACAGAAAACCAGTAATCAATATCAGAAAAGCAATAACTGAATGCAGAAGTCCAATCATCAAAGCCAGAAAAGTAGTAATTGAAATCAGAAAACCAATAGCCAAAACAGAAAACCAATAATTGAAGTATGAAAACCAGATCAAGGACACAAAACCAAGTCAAAGTTAGAAAATGAAAAGTCAAAGACAGAAACCAATAGTGAAAAGAAGCAATAAGTGAACAGCAGAAATGAAAAAAAAGTTTAAACACTTTATAAAGAAAAATTAAAAGCCGGTAATCAGTAGAGAGACACTAATAAATGAAGCTCTGTAAACAAACACTGAAATCTTGTAACCAATAAACAAAAAGCAGAAAACCAATAATGAACCGCTCCCCCCCAGAGCAATGAGATCAAAATCTGACAATCAAAGAATGAAACCCAATAAATGAAATGGGACTGGTGATAACTAAAGCCACAAAACTGACAAGCATGGACCAAAACACAATGAACGAGAACTGAAAACCAAAGGCTGAAAATCATAGATCGAAACCTGAGAAACAATGAGTGGAACCCAAAAACGTGCAGAGAGAAACCCAAGAAATGCTAACATTTGGCTGTTCTTTGAAAGTGGAAATTAGCATGAAAACATTCTGATTTTGTCAGCTTTCCATTTTTCAACAAAACTTTTATTTTCCATCTCCCCACATGGTCAATATGAAATCAACTGATAACTAATGGTGGGTACGAAATAACAAACAGCTAATACCAGTAGTGACTCACAAATAATCAATAACTGGCAGCTATTAATGAATATAAAATAACCAATTATACAAGTTAGTTAATTGGCTGAGTGAAGTAAAAGGCCTAAAAGACAACCGGATGGCATTTCTCTTTGTCTGTCTGTATCGTGATCACTTTTTGAGACCACATCTGATCAATTCCCAAATTTCAGGGGACATGCTGGGCAACAGTTGAAAGAACGCTACGGAGGGGGGGGGGGGGGGGAAGAAATTGGAAAACGGGAAAGCCCAATTTCCATTTAGATCTGGTGAGTAGCATCAGCAGCCAATGAGCCAATCACTCTGGGGAAGGAAGGTAGCAGGGACTTCTGGGTGCTGAGCAGGGAGAATGGGGGGCACATAGACCCCTGGCATGGGGGGAGGGGGAATGAAGCACACACAGAGGTGGGGCTGGGGGATGGGACATAGGTTTAGGGTTATGGCTGGTTGGGAAGATTCCAATGGAACATTTTTCCCATCACAAACCCTTAACTAACGCAGAGCGATGCAGGTTGCCCAGGGCTGGCTCCTGCCCATCCAGACTCAGTGTCTGGGTGCAGGGCATGTGCAGGTGGCTTCTGCCCTATATGGGGCACAGGCAGAGAGCAGGGCTGGGTGCCACAGGTGTATTGGAGCGCCAGCCCAAGAAGGCCGAGGTACGGTTGGGCGGGCATTTCCCTTAACTCTGCTGGCCCTGGCTTGGCTGAGCACGACATTCTGGCTGGGCACGTTCTGTGAGAAATGCTGATTTCTGGGGGCACCTGTATCTGGGCTACCCCTTGCTCCATGGTGGCATGGTGCCAGGGCCACCGAGAGCGGGTTCGGGCCCCCCAGCAAGGGCGGACTGGCTAAACAGGGCCGACGAGAGGGGGGGGAAGCTGGGCTCCAGACCCCCTTCTGGACCGCTGGGCCCCGGGCCCCCTTTCGGACCGCCAGGTCCCGGTAATTTGTACCGGTTCCCCCCCCTCGTCAGCCCTGGTTCCACCCACCTCAGCTCTGGGTCACCAAAGCTACCACAAGGCTACCTGACCCTCCTGGAAACCTGAGTCTGCAGGAGCATTTCAGATCACTTAGGGGAGTGAACCGGGACACAAAAGTCTCTTCTCCACCAGCCCCCCAGCAGGTCCAGCACTCAGCAGTGAGAACCAGAGCTAATCGGTTAATGAAAAATAGCCACCAGGTAATGATAAATAACCAGAAATATGACAGTCACTAATATTTTATTAATTACTGATCACGTATTACTGTTCAGACTCATTGCTCGAATCCCAGCCTGGGGCAAGATCTCTGGGACTTTCTAAACATCAATAACAGCCTCTAGACTGCCCCCCTCCAATCCCTACATCACCCAGGGTCTTGGGTCCCCCCAGCAGAGACCTGGCTGGCAGGTCCATGTCAGTAGAGCCGTGTGTATCCTCTGCCCCACCCACCTCCAAATAATCTGCCTCCGTCTGCTTAAACGTACTGGAAATGTTAAAGATCTGGAAAATAATAATAAGAAAAGGTGAGCCCCCCTGCCAACCCCACACCTCACCCCACCGCAGCACAGCCCCCCTGCTAGCCCCCCCACCCCGCTTCCCACAGCACGGCGCCCCCTGCCGAGCCCCCAGTCCCGTCCCCTGCAGCACGGCTCCCCCACCCAGTAGGAGCTGAGCAATATGCTGAACACGGAGAGCTTGATGCTGGTCTCCATGCGGCGCTGCAGGTCCAGGGAGCCCTCGGTGTCCACCAGGAACACGGCCACCTGCAGGGACAGACACACGGACAGATCCACCGGCCACTGCGACGGGCGCCCCGTGCTGACGCCACCCTCACCCCTGCCCAGCCCTGGCACCTCTGCTGCCCGGCTCCCTGGGGCCTGCCCTGGGCACGCTGGCTGGAGACGGGCCCTGGGGGAGGAAGTTCAAGCTGTGAACACTCCCCACCACCAACTCCATCCCAGTGTGTCTGTAGGGAACTACAGGGCTGGGACCTTATCCCCATCTGCCCATTTCTTTCCCCCCTCCTCCAGCCCCTCCCATCCCCCTGCCCCTGCACAGGACTTTACCCCCTCCAGACTCCCCCATTCCCCTCCCCCCTCCCCACTACTCCAGCCCCCCTGCTCCCCTTAGAATCTTCCCCCCACACCAC